ACGCCCCCATACTCAATGTGACCCCAAACCATGATTTTACCTCTACCAAACTTGACTGTTTTCTGTGTGAATCTTGGGTCCATGTGGGTTCCAATAGGTCTTCTGCAGTATTTGCGACAACTGGGATGCAGTTCAATAGATGATTCATCGGAAAAATCAACCTTCTGCCACTTTTCCACTGTCTATCCTTCCTGGCTTGGTCTTCAGGCTCTTGATGAGCAGCACTTTGGTCTGTGGTTGAATCTTTGGCATGCTGTCAGAGGTCAGTTTGCATTTCAAATGAAGGTTGGGTGTGCTGGGGTTCTTCTTATACACACCTGGGAATGTGTTAATTACAGTATTTGTCACAGGTGATGCTCTAATCTGTGATTGGTTGAATCCTTGGTTGAAAGATACAGCAAGACTTTTGTCCTTGCGGAAACAGATGTTATGAGCTTTACCAAGCTGTGAATATCAGGACACTTTTTGATGGTTTCATTTTGCACCCAGTTATGTGAATGCCCTTGACATTAAAATTAACAATTTATTGTGACAACTGAATGATTAGAAATAAAGTTATAAGACATTTTAGGTTACTATGTCCTTATAGGACAAGACTTTTGTCAGGGAGTGTATATATTATGTTGTTTGAACCTACCTCACTCAGACAACTGTATGTTCATGCTGACTTGTCTCCTTGCTACAAGTAAACTAATTACTTAAAAAGATTCCAGTGATTTTGTTGCTTCATTAAAAATTATTTTGACAATACCTAAAAACATAAATACAGAAACTTCTCAAGATGATATTATGGATGTATGCTCCATCTGCAGTATGGTTCACAGTAAATGATTACATCGTGGAGAAAGTACTCACCAAAGTGACCGAGATGCTGAAAACTAATAATAATGCAATAGGAAATAAACTGATGTTGTTCTCTTGTTTGAAGCACTCGTATCTGAAAAAGGAATAAATGTGTTCATCTTATATGTTCAGTTTGAATAACCATAAACAACAGAGAGAAAATAACAAGCTGAGGTGACGTTGGGAGAGATATGCAAGCCGAGCTGTTCAGAATCAATAGTGCCATTACAGAACACGCCACACCAACAAGCAGAAGCCACAAGAAGACACACTGGAATTTCTTGAATCAAGTGATCAGTAAGACATTCATTGGTTCAGTTTACAGCCACAATCATATTAATCTGGTTCTCAGTGACCATCATACTTAAAGAGTGCTTTAACAGCAATAATGCCAAAAGGCTGAGCCACTTACAGGCAGTAGACAAAGACGCATGTACTGTAAATCATTGGCAACTCATCCAGAAGCTGCAAATGAGGAATAGAGAAAACACATATTAATACATCATAAAGGATTCTCTTGTCTCAGCATAACAATATAGAACAGATGTTTGACCTCATATTTTCAACACATATCATAACCTCCTCCTCTGTCAGGCGGTATAGGAGCTTGATCTCTGAGGCTGTGAGAATACTTAAGAGCTTGAGCGCGTAATTGTCCACAAGAACATTTTTCTTCCACATACTGTTTGTATATATGTAGAAATGACAATAAAAACTGTGAATTTTAACTGGAGTCTGATTCATGCAGTTGTGAAAAAAACATTTAGAGTAATCTCCATGTTCACATACAATATTCAGATTTCACTGTAGCCTACCTGCATCTCATATAGCAGTGTCATGTGGAAGCACCAGGAGCCAACACCGACAGCTGGGTGACACACACACACACACACACACACACACACACACACACACACACACACACAACATCAAAAAGAAAGTCAATACATGTATACATACATCACAGTGCAATACTCTACAAGTGCAAAGGTTATTGTCAATAACTATAATATGTAAAGAAGATCAGTGTTTGCTTCACTACTGTCACTAATGTAGAGTCAAGCAATTTATGGTTTCATCAGACTAACCTGCTAGTCCGAGGAAGGAGCAGATGTAGCGAAATTCAAGGCCGTCACGAAATGTCTGGATGGCCCCACAAATAGGTGGAAGAATCATAATCAGGTTGCTGACAGTATTCCCTGTTCAAAAAGACGCAGACTGACATGATCTGCACAAGATCTGAAGTGCTAAGTTTGACTGAATGACATGACAGCAGTGAGAGTTCAGTGACATAGCCTGGCATCTTATTACAGACACCTGATCACTGCACACACAGCCTGTAAGGCAGGCCAGAAATGTACAATCATTGGAAACAATACAAGGTAGAACCTAAATGGACTATTTCATCTCTAGACGCATCAGTGTGATTGTGCATCAAATGTAAACACACTGGTATTCAAACTTTGACTCAGTAACATGCCAAGAGTCTAAACAGCAGAATCTAAAATGAAATGGAATTATCTGTGTGAATTCTAAAAGGAAGACAATGAAAAAAGCCAATACAGTCAAAACTACATTCAGGAGAGAGGGAGAGAGAGAAGCAGCAACATGTTGATCTAGTTAGCGTTTCTCATCAGGCAAGCAGAAACAACAAGGTAAATAACTGTTTCCAGTGCCATCAGTTCTGGATTGCAAGCGAGAGCGGACGTGTTTATTGCTTCTCTGTCTGTTCTACGATTTTTCACTTCTTTTCTTTTCATATTGTCAAGGCTTTGAGCAAAACTCTACAACTACTAAAATGCCTCCAAAAGAAAAAAGAGCTAATAAATCCGAAGTGAACGATGGTGTTGAGGCGGAAGAAGATTCTTTTTCAGCGGCGCAAGTTGCTGAGATGATGAATCAGCAGCAGAGTATGCACACTGCGCTGATGTGCCAACTAAATGAGAGTTTCCAAGGCTTTGTGAAACTAATTATGGAGGCTAATAACAAGAGATTCGACGACTTGACCAAAGAAATGCAGGAGATAAAAATAAGTTTGCAGTTTACCCAGCGAGATGTGGACGCGATTAAAGCAGATGTGGGGAGGCATGAAATAACTGCCAAAGACACTTTTCGGGACATTGATAAAACCCGAGAGAGTCTAATAACTATTACGTATAAAATGGAGCAATTGAAAGTACAGTCCAAGCAAAAAAACCTAATCTTCGAGGGAATCATGGAGTCAGCTGGAGAAAGCTGGACAGAAGCGGAGGGTAAGGTGGAAGAAATCTTAAAGGACAAACTGCAAATTCATCAGGATATAGAAATGGAACGGGTCTACAGAGTGGGGAAATTGACCGAACGGGGTCCAAGGGGGATGATGGTTAAGTTGAAGAACGAGAAAGACAAGATAACCATTCTGCAACAAGCCAAGAAGCTGAAGGGAACCAAGATTTACATCAACGAAGATTTCCCCGAGGGTGTGAGGAAGTGAAGACAAGCGCTGAGGTTAAGAGAGGCTAAGGTGAGAGGAGAAATCGCGTTTCTGCGATACGATAAACTGGTGACCAGACCTCGAAACCAGGATTTCGGGCCAAGGAACAGCACGCCGAGACAAGGACAGTATGATGGGGCCGCGGGACCCTCTCATGTCTGAAGAAACTTACTGATATCTGCGATGGCAGATGAGCTGTGGAACCATCATCAACCAGCATGACCCATGGACGATATGAGGCAAGTGATTTACTACAGAACTTAATAGATTTTGAGGGAAGGGATCTGGAACTGAACACATTTGGAGACACTGAAATGCTATCATGAAACGGACGACGGCTTGAACCCTGAAGAAAACTTTTTCAAGAACCTTGAAAATAACTGCAAATATTACACGGATGAGCAGTTTAACAGCAATGTCAAGACTGTAAACAAATGATCATTAATTCACTTTAATAGCAGAAGTCTGTACGCTAACTTTCAGAGTATAAAGCATTATCTTTGTAGTCTTACACATGCTTTTAATATAATTGCTATTACTGAAACCTGGATTAATAAATGTAAGGGGAGTGGATTTTGACCTTGATGGGTACGACTTGGTATGCACAAACAGAGAGAATAAGATGGGAGGTGGTGTGGCCTTGTACATAGATAATAACTTCTGTTATGAAAAAGTCGAGAACATGTCAAGGGCGGTTGATAACTTGCTGGAGTGTGTGACTGTAGAAATATCCATGGAAAAAAAGAAAAAGGCTGCAGTAAACTGTATTTATAGAGCACCTGGAGCCAGCATAGAAAAATTTAATGACTGGATAGAGGAGAACTATTTGACAAT